AGGTGGAACCAATCCTGATGGTTCAAATGTTTTCCTTCTCCTGTTGCTTCAACAACTTGGCAGGAAGCTCGATTCCACCTTCAGAAAGTTTAAAAGAGAAAATTAAAACATGTGGTACATGTATATAATGGCATACTACTCAGCCATAAAAAGGAATAAAATAATTCTATTTGCATTGGATTGGAAATAATGCCATTGCATGGATGCAACTGGAGATTGTCATATCAATTGAGGTCAGACAGGGAAAGATAAACATCATATGATGCCACCGATATATGGAATTTAAAATAGCACACAGATGCACCTATCTATGAAACAGAAACAGAATCATGGACATAGATGATAGACTAGTGGTTACTATAGTGGGGGTGGGGGGAGGCTGTTGGAAGAAGGATGGAGAGGGAGGTTGGAGTTAGCGGATGTAAGCTTTTATATATAGAATGGATAAACAATAAGGTCCTACTGCAGAGCAGAGAGGACTATATTCTATATCCTATGATAAACCATAATGAGAAAGAATAATTTTTTAAAAAGAATGTATATATATGTACAACTAGGTCACTTTGCTCTATAGCAGAAATTAACAAAATGTATACTTCCATCAAATATACTTCAATTAAAAAAGAAATAAATAGAAGAAAATTTAATATATATGTAGGCCACTATATGTGGGTAAAGGAAACAGTGAAACTCTAAATGCTTCCTTAAAACTAATTCCTTTTTATTGTCTTACTTTTCTTTATAATACAATGTTCATAGTCACTACAGGGCATTTCCACATAAAGGGATGTGCTTAATCATTTGTCCTATGATTATGAACACCTGAGAAGAATAAAATTCTAATATTTTGATTGCTGTAAATTTTTACTTTCAGGAAAAGTTCCCAGCTTTTAGTGATATTTCAGTAGTGCTTATGTGAGTTTGAAAATGCAAGTTCATTTTAAATTAAACATGAGGCATGCATCTAGTCTATTCTTCAAATAAAACTTGTATATATTTTTCCATTTGTAGATATATCTGTAGACCTTACTGGATGGGCTGGTTGCTTTCAATCCTTATTGCCAACACATCATAATGGAGTTCATAGTGTCTGACTTTTTCCTATGTTTCTATTATGTGTTCATCATTTAATGCTCTTAAATATTTAAAACATTGGCTGTCAAAGAATGTCAAGGCCATCGAGACTCCAGGAGCTGTATGGGGTGGCAGAAGAAGTCAGAAAGTATTAATTACTTTCAACCCACCTGTCATTCTGCCTCTGTTATTGAGTCTCAGTATTTTTTTCTCTTTAAATAGATTGTTTTAAATATTTTGATTCACATAAGAGCTCAGTTTAAAACCAGATAGAGAAAAATCTTCATCTGCGTCCAAGCTACTATATTGTGTTACCTCCATTCTCCCACAACTCTTTATTTCCTACCTGAAACTTATATAATGAGAGTGAATGTTCAGTGAATTTGGAAGAAAATGGCAACCCACTCCAGTACTCTTGCCTGTAAAATTCCATGGACGAAGGAGCGTGGAAGGCTACAGTCCATGGGGTTGCAAAGAGTCGGACACGACTGAGCGACTTCACTAAGTCACTAAGTCACTACAGAATTTGCAGTTTGCAGGACCTCCTATAGATCAACAAGGGAAGATTAAGGTAGTCTGCCCAGAAAGGGGAGGCAGCATGTTGGAATGGGAAGGACACAGCTTTAGAGGTAAGAGACATTGGTTCAAATCTTGGTTCTACCAAGTAGTTACCCTTGCACCAAATGGGGGCAGGTAGAGAGCAGGTTAATTGTCATTAAGGGAGCTCTGAGGATGTGGACAGTCTCTGGTTTGGTGTACATCAGAATTTCTCAACTTCACCACTGTTGACACTTTGGGCTGGCTAATTCTTGATTGTAGGAGCTTCTCTGAACAATGAGGTTGCTTAGAAGTTTCCCTGGATTCTGCTCACCAGCTGCCACCCCTCCTTTCCCAGGTCTGAGACCAGAAATGTCTCCTGGGGTACAAAGTCGCCCCCTAGTGAGAAGTACATGTCTGCACGTTCACCTTTGGGCCTGGCATCCTCACAGGAACCCTTTAGGTGTGCATATCCCTAGTCTCTTATTAAAAATCCGAAGCTATAGAGGGGAAAATATTTAAGGACTTTTCAAAGGCCCTAAGAATTTGAGGCAATTGTATTAAATATATTTACCAGTTTTAAAAAGATCTAGAAAACCATAACAAATACTGTTGTCCTCAATCCTAGAGAGAGGGTTATCATTTCTATCCATTTTTTTTCCCATGATAACAACTGTTCTTGCATTTTCTGAGTCCTCCAAATAAATTAGTTACTCAGACCAATCAGTATACCATGTCTACGACCTGCAGAACAATGAGAGTCAAGAATCTACATTTTGTTTTTGAAACACTAAGAACATTAAACAGTGCCACTGGGTCGTAACTATTAACATCTCTCGCCTAGGATTGGGATATAAATGCTTCAGAGGTCTTTTCTCACTTAATGATACAGAGAAAAGGTAAAAACCAATTTCAGATGCTAAGGATGCAGCATTTGGTAGCAAGCCTTCAGGAAAAAAAAGGAAAAAGAAATAGCTCAATGGGGAGCACTAGTGTGCTTCTAGCTGCTGACCCCCAAATTTAGGCAGGACAAGAGCTAAGAGCTGAGGGCACAGCCTGGAACTCGAAATTCAATTCCCATTTTGTCTGTCCTTGAGAAAATCACCTGGGTTGCCTGGTAAATATCCAAGTTTCTTTTCTGGAGATTCTGAATCTGAAGGTTTGAGGTTATGCCCAGAAGTTGTAATTTTAGGAAGCTTCCTGTGTGAATTTTATGATCAAGTAGGATTAGAAAACACTGAGGTCTAAACCCTTGCTGCTCAGAAGGTGGTCCACAGGCCAGCAGCAGCAGCAGCAGCAGCAGCTTGAGAGCTTGTTACAATTGGATTCACAGCCCTCCGGTCTGAGGTGGAGCCCAGGATTATGCATGCCTGCTGCTGCTGCTGCTAAGTCACTTCAGTCGTGTCCGACTCTGTGCGACCCCATCCCTAGGATTCTCCAGGCAGGAACACTGGAGTGGGTTGCCATTTCCTTCTCCAATGCATGAAAGTGAAAAGTGAAAGTGAAGTTGCTCAGTCATGTCTGACCCTTCACGACCCCATGGACTGCAGCCCACCAGGCTCCTCTGTCCATGGGATTTTCCAGGCAAGAGTACTGGAGTGGGGTGCCATTGCCTTCTCCATCTGCATGCCTAACCAGCACCAAAGAGATGCTGAGGCTTCAGGTTAGTGTACTTCATTTTAAGCAGAAAGGATTCTAGAAACTTTTAAGTAGGAAGTGGAAAGAAGAATGAGTCATCACTAAGTCCCACTCTGTGGGTGATGATATCGCTCTTACAGGTCATCAGAGATGGGGGAGAGGTCCCTGGAGATGGGAGTGCAGAATAAGATTTTCCATGTTAATGAACAGAGTGCTCAGAATTCCAGGTTTCTGTAAAGTTTTTTCAGATAAAGAGATGGAAAATGTTTCCAAGGGAAGGTGGAACTGTTGTGTGCTATTTCAGGACCCCTCCTCCAGTGTCCCAGTTCACAAGTCTCCTGGCAACTTTGCCTGTACTTTCATCAGTGGTACCCTAAGTAACAGCTGCTTGTCTGCCGGAAATGCTGAGCATATTGTCCCTTAAGTGGTCCATCCTCCAGAATGAGTGAAAGAAGAGCCTGCATGTTTATGCTGCTGCTGCTGCTGCTAAGTCACTTCAGTTGTGCCGAATGCTGTGAGACCCCATAGATGGCAGCCCACCAGGCTCTTCTGTCCATGGGATTCTCCAGGCAAGAATACTGGCGTGGGTTGCCATTTCCTTCTCCAATGCATGCATGCATGCTAAGTTGCTTCAGTCGTGTCCAACTCTGCATGCTTATACGGTTAATCTTTTTCTTGTAACTACTAGAAGGCAGCATTGTTAGTAGACCTTAATGACATCCTTTGGGTGGTTTCCCCTTTAACTGATTCCAGCATACACACCATCAGCAGCTTTTTATTGAGGAAATTGGGTAAAATTGAACATTTCAGTCATATTGAAGAGGGAAAAGGTAGCCAAAAGCTCACGTGTATTGGGCCCAGGGGATGGTGATGGCTCCAACCAGTGCAGAACTGGTAGTATCGAGACTGGAAGGGAAAAGGAGATGCCATTCATGCTTTAGTTCCAGCAAAACTTCATTGGCTCTGGTTGGGTCCAGTGCCTATCTGTGAACCAGTCAGCATCTCTGGGGAATGTGATTGCTGTTTGCCTTTCATTCAGGTCACAGGCTCCACCCTGGGAGCAGGGATAGAGGGCCACAGGGTAGAGGAGGAGTGACTCCCCTGAAGAAGGGGGCTTCATGCTCTCCAAAGTCACAAATGTCTGCCCTGTGCAGCCACCAATAACTGAGAAATGCAATGCCCCATAGGGAGTGGTGCTGTAGAAACTAGGGATGTGAGCACTCGGGGACAGCTGGGACTGAAGTCACAAAAATGAGTTACAGTGCCTGCAAATCCCTCAGGAAACATCGGCCCCAAAGGCCCTGTGCTAAAAGGAGTAGCTCCTAGAAGTGTCTCCTGTTGTCAGGCTTGTGTGGACAGAGGGTTGTTATAAATGTGATCTTTGCAAGATGCAGTGATCTAGTTTTCATACAGTATTTGAACCCTTCCCGAAGGTCAAAGCACACCCTTTGGAGACACAAACTCCCGGCTATAATTCCCCTGATGCTCCCTCACTCGCTGGGAATAGTTGGGAAAGGGGCTTAATGTGGTAGAGCTATAGGGCTTCTTTTATAAAGTGAGATACCACTGCCTCGTTCCTCTCTTGCTTCCTCCCTCCCAGATAGTTGTAAAGATTATATATGGCATGGATGAAGGGGACTTTATTTTTTATCACCATTGTACCCAACAGCTCCTAGCACTACATATAGCAGATATCAGCAAAGTTTGTTGAGTGAATGAATAAATAAATGATTTAAAAAGTACTTGGCCGGCCCCTGCCGGCCGGGGTGCTCTAGATGCCGCGCGGAGACCCTCTGCACCCATGCGCACATGGCGCTGCAAGCGGTGCGGAGCGTGCGGGCCGCGGTCGGCAGCCTGCGCGCCGTCTCAGCACCCAGCGCGCCCTGCTCGCCGCGGCCCTGGGGACTGCGGGCGGGTGCCGTCCGGGCACTGCGCACCGGCCCTGCTCTGCTGTCGGTGCGGAAATTCACAGAAAAACACGAATGGGTAACAACAGAAAACGGTGTTGGAACAGTGGGAATCAGCAATTTTGCACAGGAAGCTTTGGGAGATGTTGTTTACTGTAGTCTGCCTGAAGTTGGGACAAAGTTGAATAAACAAGAGGAGTTTGGTGCTTTGGAAAGTGTGAAAGCTGCTAGTGAACTCTATTCCCCTCTATCAGGAGAAGTAACGGAAATTAATAAAGCTCTAGCAGAAAATCCAGGACTTGTCAACAAGTCTTGTTATGAAGATGGTTGGCTGATCAAGATGACATTCAGTAACCCTTCAGAACTAGATGAACTAATGAGTGAAGAAGCATATGAAAAATACATAAAATCTATTGAGGAATGAAAATGGAACCCCTAAATAAACTACTTTGAAACAACTTAATCTAGCATAGTTGTCTTAAATTAGTGGTGGATAGATATTTAAAAAGCAACTTTTAGCAAAAGAAACTACTTGTAACAATGTTTCCTGAAGAAAATACCCCTTAACTTTCTAATGCCTTCAGATAAACACTGTGTATCTTTTCCACAGCATCCTGTGATTTTTAGGCTAGGCTCCAGTTATAATATTCAGAATTCCTGAAATTATCTCTGGTGAAACTAATTACAAAAATTATGTAATTCAAGGATAACATGGTTATCTTATACCTTATATGACATTGTAACTTGCTTACAGCTATCCTTGGATTTGGGTCAAAATGATCTTCCCACTAGAAATAACTGCCAGTGGAGAAAAGTTTGTTAGTCGTATAGTGTCCAGTGAAGAATATTACTGTCTTAACTTTGCAATATACTGTGTTTGCTGGTGCTATTTTTATACAGTGAAGCAACAGCCTTGCAGGAGAATAAACAATTAATAATAAAATATTCAACTTCTTAAAAAAAATAAAAAAATTAAAAAAAGTACTTGGCCTATAGGAGGTGTTTTAAAACATTTATTATTTTCTTACTTGATTATAGCTGATGCTTAGGTGTGCCTCTATAACAGATTTCTTCTATTTGGCTAAAAGGAGTCCTCCTTTGTGAAGCCTAAGTGAAACTTTTTCTTGTTTTTAGGATCTTCTATGTGCCAGGTGTTTTCTTCTTTCTTTGTAACAAATTCTTATTGGAGTATAGTTGCTTTACAGTGTTGTGTTAGTTTATGCTCTACAGAAAAAATTAGTCACCCATATGTACACATTGTCGTTGTTGAGTCGCTAAGTCGTGTATGACTCTTTGTGATCCCATGGGTTGTAGCCGGCCAGGCTCCTCTATCCATGGGATTTCCCAGACAAGAATACTGGAGTGGGTTTCCATTTCCTGCTCCAGGGGGTCTTCCTGACCTGGGGGTTGAACCCCACATCTCTTGACATCTCCTGCATGGACAGGCTATTTCTTTACAGCCACCAGGAAAGGCAGTACGTTTACGTATATCCCTTCTTTCCTTCCCATTCAAGTCACCACAGATCTCTGAGCAGAGTCCTCTATGCCACACAGTGGATTCTCATTAATCATCTGTTTTACACATACTGATGCTGGTGGTGATCTAGTCTCTGAGGCGTGTCTAACTCTTGCCACCCGATGGACTGTAGCCTGTCAGGCTCCTCTGTGCATGGGATTTTCCAGGCAAGAATACTGGAGTGGGTTGCCATTTCCTTCTCCATTTATATACAGTATCAGTAATGTAATATGTCAGTCACAATCTCCCAATTCATCCAAATGAACTCTTCAAAGAAGTTCTGGGACTTTCTCTCTGTGCCTTGGTTTCAGAAGCACATCTCCAGGCCTTGCAACCAAGAAGCAACGGCACAGCTCAAAGTTTCCAGTTTTTCGGGCAGTTTGGTCTGACCCAGCCGTCTCTGAAACAGACTTCCTACTTCTGACAAAATTCTTTAAAACATTTTTTAGTGTCATTCCAAGCAAATGTTTTTCAAAGATTTTCTCGGTGAGTCAGTTTTGCTGTCACAAATAAGCTCAGAGAAACTGAACTGCCATTCAGGCCTCTATACTCTCAAAATAGAGAGTCTCTTGTTCCCTTGAACCATCCCTGGAGGTGGATTAATCTGTTGACCCAGAAGGCAGGGTTGATTCCTCACCCACTTCTGCTTTGTACAGGGTTAAGTGTGCAGGATTGCTAAGTCACTTCAGTCTTATCCAATTGTATGTGACCCTCCAGGTTCCTCTGTCCATTGGATTATCCAGGCAAGAATAGGAGTGGGTTGCCATGTCCTCCTCTAGGGAATCTTCCCGACTCAGGGATCAAATTTGTGTCTCCTATGTCTCCTGCAGTCTCAGGCAGGTTCTTTACCTCTAGTACTGTCTGGGAAGAGGGATGGACAAGTTAAACTTAATGCAGTGTAGCCTTCAAACTTTACTTAGGCCTTGGAAACCTAATTCGGGCGGGGGGCTGGGGGGGGGAAGGTCAAAGGATATAGGCAAAGTCACGTATTTTTAGAAGCCAAATCTGTAAATGAAGACTTCTGCCTGGAGCTCAGGATCTCTCTCACACAGTGAGGGTGATTTAGTGCCACTTCCAGAAAAATCTCTGGGAGTTTCTTTGGGCATCATTTCAAATTGTTGATGCCAGGTCCTGCATAGGACCAACCATCATCACAGTGAGGAGCTGAGGTTGACTGAAATTTTCTGTCTTAGAGAAAAGTATTGGGCATGTTTGTTGTTGTTACTGTTTTTATGATTATTTCTAAACATGTGTCTATAGAAACTTAGTCCCATAGACATGTGCTTCAGGCTGGGACAGTAATTATATTGAATTTACCTCTCTGTCAGATTTCTCAGACAATTGTGCTAATGCTGCTCATTTATTTTGCTGCCAGCCCTGCACTCCCCAAAGTATATGCCAGGAAGTAAGGTGAGTTTCAGGAAACGCATACCCTCATTAGTGGCACAGTTGGCACTAATGAGAGCTGATTCACACTGTGCAGACAAGGGATTTTGGTCTCCATCAGGTATGCATTGTGTTAGGAGTCAATTACACACTTTGCATGTAATCCTTCTCCCTTCTCTTTAACCCCAGCTCTCCCTTTCTCAGCCTGGTCTCCACGTGGTCTTTGCTTTCCTAAGCTTCTCCAGCGAAGGACAGGGAGGAAAACCCAAAAATGCTGAAATAGGAGAGAGATGCTTGCAGTTACAGTGTAGGATCCTCCACTGTGGTGTGGAGGCTTAGTTGCCCTTGCCCCGCAGCTTGTGGAATCTTTGTTCCCTGGCCAGGCATAGAACACTCATTCCCTACTTTGGAAGGGATCCAGGACCCCTTAACCATGGGACCGCCAGGGAAGTGTTAGTCAGTCATGTCCAGTTCTCTGGGAACCCTTGGTCTGTATCCCACCAGGCTCCTCTGTCCATGGAATTCTCCAGGCAAGAACACTGGAGTGGGTTGTCATTTCCTCCTCCAGGGGATCTTCCCGACCCAGGGATCAAACCCAGGTTTCCTGCATTGCAGGCAGATTCTTTACTGTCTGAGGCAGGACCTTAGTTCCCCAGCCAGTGATGGAATCCTTGTTTCCTGCACTGGGAGGCAGGTCTTAACCACTGGACCACCAGAGAAGTCCCTGTGTTTTATTATCTCATTTACTAAATCATCTTCCCTACTTTTACCCAAACTGGGGGCAATTGGGAAACATACTGGTAGTAAGCATTCAACAGAGGTTTCTGAGTGAGTGGATGGATGATGGTGGATATATGAAGACAACTCTCAGCTGGTCCAGATATAAGGCCATTAATTAAGTTTTTTCATACTCAAAACTGCTGAGATATAGTTCAGTGGTTCTCCAAGTGTATTCTGAGCCCAGCAGCATCAGCATCACCTGGGAAGTTATTAGAAATACAGATTCTCAGGTCTTGCTCCTGGCATCTTTGTTTTAACAAGGTCCCCAGTTGATTCTGGTGCCTTGTGAAGTTTGCCAACTACTGATGTGGCCCCACCCCCTTATAACTAAGGCTTCAGAGAAGCAGAAGTATCAAAGTCTATATGGCTTGTGAGTATCCTTCATCTGATCCAGGGCAGATTCTGATATGCAATTTTTTAGAAGGATATTTTGAATGGACAGTGACAAATTGTATGACACTGTATTAAACATAAGGCATTATGTAAAATGTTATTTTTATACATAAATTATTTTCCCACAAGCTCCCACAAGCCTTGATCTTACATGCTGCTGGATCTCAATCATAGTTAGAATGGTACCCTTTTGATGTAAAATATGTCCATATGATTAAGTGTGTGTAACTTTCCTACATCTATGCTATGCAATGTTACATTCTCAGAGGTGAATGGTCTTGTCTGTAACAGAACAGAATTTGCATAGTGAGTACTAAAATATTTGCTGATTTAACTACTGGTATTTTAATATTTATGTTTAACTACTGATTTTCTGCTAAGCAACTCTAGTATATATAAAATACACTTTACAAACATGGTGAATTGAGGGATGATACTCACTTTATAAAATGATTCAATGTATGAAAATTAGGTCCACATAGAATTCTTGCAGAAACATACTTTTGTGTAAAGTAAATGCACAGGCACAATTTAAGATTTAGCTAATTAAGTTTAAAAGCAAGCTAAGACAAGGCATAGTTAAAGTTGAGAAGGCTTTTAGCTTAAATTGGAGTGAATTAAATAACTATTGCTCTGGAGTTGGGCTTAATCTGGGTATTGTCCTTTTTTTTTTTTTTTTTTAGGTGAAATGGAATAGAGGATATAAGAGTCAAACCCATTGTATGTGGATAGGGACTATTTCATTTCAAGCTTGGAGTGTATCAAGGAGGTAGATAGCAAGCTCTTGAAACCAAAAAAGTCAAGTGCTTTTAACAGCCAGCCCCAATAGGAAGCTGGATGTCTCCATGTGTCATCCATCGGCCAGGCAAAGTCCTTTTATCATTCACTTCCCCCTTTTGTTTTTACAAATTATCTCTACCGTGTCCATCTTTTATCAAATCTAAGTAATGGCTGCAGCTTTCAAATTCTGGAGTTTCTTTCTAAATTTAGTACAGCTTTGGCTTCTACTTTTAGCCAAAAACATGCTACTAAAATCTGTTTCTCTCATTATACAAGCCAACCTTGGAGATGTCGTGGGCTCAGTTCCAGATCACTGCAATAAAGCAGATATTGCAGTAGAGCAGGTCATAAGAATTTTTTGGTTTCAATGTGCATATAAAAGTTATGTCTGCACTATACGATAGCCTATTTTGTGTACAGTAGCATTATTCTAGAAAAAATATGCACCCTGTAATTAAAAAAATACATTATGAAATAAAGTAAAATAAAGTAAGAAAATACTAAAAAAATGCTATGATTTGAACCTTCAGTGGGTCCTGATGTAACATCAGAGATCATGATTGCAGATCACCATAACACATAAAATGGTAACAATGAAATAGTTTGAC